TATCTAATTCTTCCTTGTTCAGTCTTGGAAAATTGTACCTTTCCAAGAATGTGCCTATTTCTTCATGGTTGTCCATTTTACTGGCATATAGTTGTTTGTAGTAGTCTCTTATAATCCTTTGTATTTCTGCAGTGTCAGTTGTGATTTCTCCTTTTTCATTTCTAATTTTATTGATTTGCCTCCCCTCCCTTTTTTTCTTGATCCGTCTGGCTAAGGGTTTATCAATTTTGTTTATCTTCTCAAAGAACCAGCTTTTAGTTTCATTGATCTTTGCTATTGTTTTCTTCATTATTATTTCATTTATTTCTGCTCTGTTCTTTATGATTTCTTTCCTTCTACTGTTTTTGGGTTTTCTTTGTTCTTCTTTCTCTAGTTGCTTTAAGTGTAGGGCTAGATTGTTTATTTGAGATTTTTCTTGTTTCTTGAGGTGAGATTGAATTGCTATAAACTTTCCTCCTAGAAATATTTTTACTGCATCCCATAGGTTTTGGGTCATTGTGTTTTCATTGTCAGTTTTTTCTATGAATTTTTTAAATTTCTTCTTTGATTTCTTCAGTGACCTCTTGGTTATTTAGTAGTGCACTGTTTAGCCTCCTTGTATTTGTTTTTTACAATTTTTTTCCTGTAATTGATTTCCAATCTTATAGCGTTGTGGTCAAAAAACATGCTTGATATGATTTCAATTTTCTTAAATTTTTTGAGGATTGATTTGTGACCCAAGATGTGATCTATCATGGAGAATGTTTCGTGTGCACTTGAGAAGAAAGTGTATTCTGCCACTTTGGGGTGGAATGTTCTATAAATATCAATAAGATCTATCTTGCCTATTGTGTCATTTAAAGCTTGAGTTTCCTTATTTATTTTCTGTTTGGATGATTTGTCCATTGTTAAAGTCCTCTACTGTTATTGTGTCACTGTCGATTTCTCCTTTCATGGTTGTTAGCATTTGCCTTATGTATTGAGGTGCTCCTGTGTTGGGTGCATAAACATTTATAATTGTTTTGTCTTCTTCTTGGATTGTTCCTTTGATCATTATGTACTGTCCCTCCTTATCTTTTGTAACAGTCTTTATTTTAAAGTCTATTTTATCTGATATGAGTATTGCTACTCCAGCTTTCTTTTGATTTCCATTTGCATGGAATATCTTTTTCCATCCCTTCACTTTCAGTCTGTATATGTCCCTAGGTCTGAAATGGGTCTGTTGTAGACAACATATATATGGGTCGTGTTTTTGTATCCATTCAGCCAGTCTGTGTCTTTTGGCTAGGGCATTTAATCCATTTACATTCAAGGTTATTATCGATATGTATGTTCCTATGACCACTTTCTTAATTGTTTTGGGTTTGTTTTTGTGAGTCTTTTTCTTCTCTTGTGTTTCCTGCTTCAAGAAGTTTCTTTAGCATTTGTTGTAAAGCTGGTTTGGTGGTGCTGAATTCTCTTAGCTTTTGCTTGTCTGAAACGCTTTTGACTTCTTTATTGAATCTGAATGAGATCCTTGCTGGGTAGAGTAATCTAGGTTGTAGGTTTTTCTCTTTCATCACTTTAAGTATATCCTGCCACCCCTTCTTGCCTGCAGTTTCCATTGAAAAATCAGCTGATAACCTTATGGGGATTCCTTTATATGTTATTTTTTGGTTTTCCCTTGCTGCTTTTAATATTTTTTTCTTTGAATTTAATTTTTGTTAATATGATTAATATGCATCTTGGTGTGTTTTTCCTTGGGTTCATCCTGTATGGGACTCTCTGTGCTTCCTGGACTTGGGTGACTATTTCCTTTCCCATGTTAGGAACGTTTTCAACTATAATCTCCTCAAATATTTTCTCAGACCTTTTCTTTTTCTCTTTGTCTTCTGGGACCCCTATAATTCAAATGTTGTTGTGTTTAGTGTTGTCCCAGAGGTGTCTGAGCTTGTTCTGAATTCTTTTCATTCCTTTTTCTTTATTCTGCTCCTCAGCAGTTATTTCTACCATTTTGTCTTCCAGCTCACTTATTCATCCTTCTGCCTCAGTTATTCTGTTATTGATTCCTTCTAGTGTATTTTTCATTTCAGTTATTGTGGTGTTCATCTATGTTTGTTCTTTAGTTCTTCTAGATCTTTGTTAAACATTTCTTGTATTTTCTCAATCTGTACTTCCATTCTGTTACTGAGATTCTGGATGATTTTTACTATCATTACTCTGAATTCTTTTTCAGGTAGATTGCCCATTTCCTCTTCATTTATTTGGTCTTGTAGATTTTTACCTTGCTCCTTCATCTGTGGCATATTTTTTGCCATCTTATTTTTTTTTAAGTGAAATTGTGCTGCTGTTTTACTGGTTGTTTGGCCTGAGGCTCCCAACACTGGAGTTTGTAGGCTACTGGGTAGACCTGAGATGGGTCTTGGTGCTGAGATGGGGAGCTCTGTGCGACCTCACTCCTATGAATATTCCCTGGGGTCTGAGGTTCTCTGTTAGTCCAGTGGTTCAGACTTGGAGCTCCCACCGCAGTAGCTTCTGCCTAACCCCAGGCTTGCGAACCAAGATCCTGCAAACTGGTTCACTCTGGGGTTCCTCCTGTCTCCTTGGGCATTAGAATACACCACCAGTGGCCGGCAGGCTCCCTAGTTGTTGGGGGAGCTAACTCCACATCCTCCCACACCACCATCTTGACTCTGCCTCTCTGGATTGATTTTTATATGTTCTGCTTGCGATTGTTTTTTTGTTTGATTTTTTGTTTATTTGTGTTTCTTGAGTCTAAAGATTTTATTCTCATCAGTTATGGAAGACTCTCAAGTATTATCTCTGAATGTAACATTTTGCACATTGTCTTTATTATATCTTTGTGGTATTGCAGATATTAGACCTTTTTATTCTGTTTTCTTTATTTCTTGTCCTCTCTTTCATATTAACCTTATTTTTACACTCTAATCTTAATTCAGATCTATAGTCAGTTTGCTAATTTTTTTTTTTTTTTGCTGTACGTGGGCCTCTCCAGTTTGCTATTTTTCTCCTCAGCTTTGTCTAATTTTCTTTTATCTAGTTTGCTCCACCCCCAGCTGTGAGCCAAGGCCCGTAATGACAGTTAACCTTGTCATCTCATCTTCCTTTGCCAGCTGATAAGACTTCTTTCTATGACACCCTTATGCTAATGTTATAGCCTTCAAGGTTCTAGGTTTATTCAGAAAATTCAGTTCCAGCGTCTCATCTCATGAGCTCCATAGGGGGCTTTGTCTTCAGGGGCTTCAGTGCTTACCTACTACTAATATTTACTTCTTCCTCCTTGTTTCTGTCTCCTGAGGATTTTCCTTCCATTTTTACAATCTAAGCTCTGTATTTAAAAGGGCATTTGTTGTAGTTTATCCAGTATTTCAAGGTGTTATTATAAATGTGTAGGCCTCCATATTAATGGAAGTGGTTCATGTCTTTTTAGGATGAAGGGGGAAAAGCTTTATGGTATTAAATGGACTTTAGTAATGGATCTCCTATTAATATTTTTGGCTAATATTTTATATCATGATCATTCTTAACCATTAATATTAAATTAGAGTTGGCTATAGTAGGTAGTCAGTCCTCAGTATCTGCAGTTTGTAGTAAATTTCAGGTTTAAGGGAAACTGAAATCATTCTTTAAAAACAACAATGAATATATATATGAATTCATCTAAAATAGTTGGCTTCTTAATTCAGCTTTTAACAATAGTGACTTTTTCTACAGAGACAGCAATTCTATTTGGGAGATGATTTGAAAAATAAAAAAATCATTACCTTTTTCTTTATTTCCATCTATCTCAGTGATTCAGGTTCTCTGCAGGGTTCGATTTTGCCCCCCTCCCCAGGTAGCATTTGACAATGTCTGGAGAAATTTTTGGTTATTGTAATTCGTAAAACAGAGGGGTTGCTAGTGTCATCTAGTGGATAAAGCCAGGAATGCTTATAAACTTCGTAGAATACATAAGACATCCCCCACAACAAAGTATTATCTAGCCCAAAATATCAGTAGTGCTTAGGTTAAAAAACCCTGTTTATAAAAGGAGCTATAATTTTCTCAGTTACCTAGCTGAAATTGATAAATCTTACTTAAAAATGTAATGTATATGATACATTAAAATTACCCAGAAATTCATACACATATACTTATTTTCTTAACAATTCTAGTTATATCTGTTGTTGATGAAAAATACTCATGGTAGCAAGTCTTCCCTCTCATTATCCATAAATATAAGGTGTTAAATTAAAACCATGAAGCCTTTGAGAGATGAACAAGGTTAATTTATGGTTTAGCTTTGGTAAATAATCGAATAATGCTTATTTTCTGATAGTGATATAATCAAACTAACAGCTCTTTAAACTATATAGTGTATGTGTGCCTTTCAAAAAAATGAACCCTGCATCCTTTATAAATGTCCCAAAGAAATATAGAATCAGGGTTTAAAAAAATAGATTTTACCTTTTTCTAAAGGGCAGAAAACACATAGAATCATTCTTAATAGTGATTTAATCATGATATAAAGCAGTTGGTTTTGAAATAATCCACATTGCTTTGTCAGATTCATGTGCATTACTTCATATTTGTTTTTGCTTGTGTCATGAAAATGAAAGATTTGTGGTATTGCTTATTTGGGTTTTATTTCCATTATATTTTTGTCGTTTTTAATTAAAAATGTTTAATCTTAAAATAGTTTTAGACTTAAAGAGAAATTGCAGAAATGTACAGAGATTTCTTTTATTCCCTTTACCAAGCTTCTCCTAATGTTAACACCTTACATAAACATAATCATAAACCAAAGGAAATCCACATCACTACAATATTAACTAAACTACAGATCTTATTTGGATTTCACCAGTTTTTCCCCTAATGTCCTTTTTCTGTTTCAGAATCCAATCACGCATTGCATTTAGTTGGCATGGCTCCTTCGTCTTCTCCATTCTATAACAGTTCTTCAGTCTTTCTTTGCTTTACATGAACTTGACGCTTGACAAGAACACTGGTCAGTTATATCTTACATAGAATGTCTCTCTCAGTACAGGATTCCCTGACGGTTTCTCTGGAGTAAATTGAGGTTATGTTTTTGACAACACCACCATATAAGTATGCTGTACTCGTCCCAGTTCATCATTTCAGAAGGTAAATGGTGTTGAAATGTTTTATTACTGGTGATATCATCCTCGGTAAGGTGGTATCTGCCAGGTTTCTCTACTATAAAGTTGCTCTTTTTCCCTTTGTAATTAATCTTTCTTGCCATTACTTTAATTTTTAAAATTTTTATTTTATATTGGAGTATGGTTGATTTACAATGTTGTGTTAGTTTCAGGTATACAGCCAAGTGATTTAGTTAAACATATACATATATTATTTTTCAGATTCTTTTCCCATATAGGTTATTACAGAGTATTGAGTAGATTTCCCTGTGCTATACAGTAGGTCCTTGTTGATTATCTGTTTTATATATAGTAGTGTGTATGTTAATCCCAAACTCCTAATTTATCCCTCCCCCCACCTTTCCCCTTGATAACCATCAGTTTGTTTTAATAGAAATAATTAAGTTTCTTAAAATTATTAAGTTTTATTTATTTCTTTTTCTTACTTATTTTCTTCTAAAATTATTTCTTAAAATAATTAACTTAATTTTAACAGAAAACAAATGTGGAAGAGATAAAAATTGTTCTGTTTCCTCAAATACTTTGTGAATATTTGGTGTAAATAGCATAATCTTATAAGTTTTCTAATTTTAACATCTTGTTTTCAGTTAGGTTGGGAAATGACTTTTTTTTTTTAAACCTTAACATATAATTTCAGAACACCTATTTAACTTGAAGTTTGCTGCAAAGGAACTTAATAGGAATGCCAAGAAATGTGATAAAGAAGAAAATGCTGAAAAGGCCAAGATTAAAAAGGTAAGTAATTTTATTTTTTTTTGTGGTATGCGGACCTCTCACTGTTGTGGCCTCTCCCGTTGCAGAGCACAGGCTCCAGATACGCGGGCTCAGTGGCCATGGCTCCTGGGCCCCATGTGGGATCTTCCGGACCGGGGCACGAACCCGTGTCCCCTGCATCGGCAGGCGGACTCTCAACCACTGCGCCACCAGGGAAGCCCCAAGGTAAGTAATTTTTAATCTTTTTACTTTTTTTTAAACTCATGAAATGAGCACAGTTATATGATGGAAGAGTGGTTGTTTTAGTTTATTTTACATTGAAGAAGGATGACTGGCTTTAGCATTTTAAGCCAAATATCTATTAAGTAAATTATTTATTATTTGACATAATTAATAATGGCTTTTTGTTTATTTCTACTTATGTGTGCAAGTATGGCTCATAACACAGAGTATAACTGTACTGTTACCTAACTGTTCTATTGCCTAGATCTAATGACTGTCCTTCGGTTTGTAGCCAGAACCACTGTTACTGAGAAGTATAAAGCCTGTATGTCAGAATAATATTTCACATTTTTTGGCTCATTTGAATTTCTTTAGTCTCTAAAGTTTTGTGGGTTTTTTTGTTTTTTTTGTTTTGTTTTTTTTTTGCGGTACGTGGGCCTCTCACTGTTGCGGCCTCTCCCGTTGTGGAGCACAGGCTCCGGACGCGCAGGCTCAGCGGCCATGGCTCACGGGCCCAGCCGCTCTGCAGCATGTGGGATCTTGCCAGACCAGGGCACGAACCTGTGTCCCCTGCATCGGCAGGTGGACTCTCAACCACTGCGCCACCAGGGAAGCCCAAGTTTTTTATTTTTTTAACATCTTTATTGGAGTATAATTGCTTTACAATCATGTGTCAGTTTCTGCTGTATAATAAAGTGAATCAGCTATGTGTTTACATATATCCCCATATCCTCTCCCTCTTGTGTCTCCTTCCCACCCTCCCTATCCCACCCCTCTAGGTGGTCACAGAACACCCAGCTGATCTCCCTGTGCTATGCGGCTGCTTCCCACTAGCTGTTTTACATTTGATGGTGTATATATGTCAGTGCTACTCTCTCACTTCGTTGCAGCTTACCCTTCCCCTTCCCATGTCCTCAAGTCCATTCTCTACATCTGCGTCTTTATTCTTGTCCTGCCCCTAGGTTCATTAGAACCATTTTTTTTAAAGATTTCATACATATATGTGTTAGCATACGGTATTTGATTTTCTCTTTCTGACTGACTTCATTCTGTATGACAGACTCTAGGTCCATCCCCCTCACTACAAATAACTCAATTTCATTTCTTTTTATGGCTGAGTAATATTCCATTGAATATAAGTTTTGTATATACATAGTACATAGAATTAATGTATATTGTGACTTGTGCATTGTGTATTTTCTAGGATTCACAGGACTCAGCATATAGTTGGACTCATGGCTATGACATATTACACTAAAGGATACAAAGGGAAAACACATGGGGTGATGTCTGGAGGAATCCAGGCTTAAGCTTCCAAGAGTTCTCAGTGGAAACACACAGGACAAGCTTAATTCCTGCAGCAACAAATTGTGACAACATATGTTAAATGTTGTCTACCAAGTAAGTTCTCCTGTGACTAGGAGTCCAAGGCTTTTATTGGTAGTCACGCAGGGATCCTCTGCCTAGCACACACCAAAATTCCAGTCTCCCAGAAGGAAATCCATTGTTTGGCATAAACCACATTGTTTATATAAAGAGTTTAGGCACAGTGAGCCATTCTTAACTGTTCTGGGAAAGATGGAAACCTTCCCCAAATCCAAGTTCCTAGATGCTAGTTACACACCAAACTTGCAAACAGACGTTTCGAAGGACAGCAGACTCAGGCTTGCTGTGTTAACTCTTTTCTGCACACGTGTATTTTTATATCTATTTTTAATATTTTATTAACTTACTCTGATCTTTGGTAATAGCGTATATCCTACCCGTAAATTGAGTCACTTTGGGTATTTTATGCTCTTAATAGAGAAAACTTTATGGGAAGAAAACTTTCAGAAAAGGAGAAAGAAATAGTTAGGCTGAGTTAGAAGAAAAAATACTTAAAATTGATGTATTAGCATCATCCTTTTCTAAAAGTATAAGCCCAACTATTTCAAGGAAAGAGAAAGCATAAAAAAGATTTTGGTCTTACATTTTTGTATATTGAGGGAATTAGAAATAATCTAAAAATAATTTTTGAATTTTCAAATCTCAGGCAAGCACAGCAGTATTAAAACATGCATATTCCCAACAAACAAAGTCCAGGCCCAGATAGTTTTACCGGTGAATTATACCAGACATTTAAAGAATTAAAGTACACCTTTGAACAACACAGGTTTGAACTTCACAGGTCCACTTGTGCACATATTTTTTTCAACCAAGATGTACTATAGTACTACACTATTTATGGTCGGTTGAATCCACAGATGCAGAACTGTAGATACAGAAGGCCAACTGTAAAGTTATACATGGATTTTTGACTGAGTGGGGTTTGGCACCCCTAGCCCCGTGTTGTTCAAGGGTCAACTGTAATACCAATCAACCTCAGACTCACTCATCCAAAAAATTAAAGAGGAGGGGACACATCCAAACTCACTCTATGAGGCCAGCATTACCCTGATACCAAAACCAAACAAGGAAACTACAAGAAAAGAACACTATAGGCCAATAGCCCTGATGAACATAGATGTAAAAATCCTCAACAAAATAGTAGCAAACCAAATTCAACAATGCATTAAAAGGGTCATACACCATGATTAAATGGAATTTATTCCAGGGATGTGGGGATGGTTCACCATCCACAAGTCAATCAGGGTGATATACCACATTAACAAAATGAAGGATAAAAATCATATAATCATCTCAATAGATGCAGAAAAGGCATGTGACAAAATTCAACATTCATTCATGATAACAGCTCTCAACAAAGTGGATGTAGGGGGAATGTACCTCACCATAATGAAAGCCATAGATGACAAGCCCACAGTTAGCATCATACCCAAGGAAAAAAAGCTAAAAGGTTTTCCTCTAAGATGAAGATAAGGATGCCGACTTTTACCACTTCTGTTCCACATACTGCTGGAAGTCCTAGCCAGAGCAATTAGGCAAGAAAAAGAAATAAAAGACATCCAAATCAGAAAGGAAGAAGTAAAACTGTCTCTATTAGCAGATAACATGTATTACATATAAAAAACCCATGGCATTATATATAGAAGAATCCACCAAAAAAAAATTAGAATAGATGCAATAAAGTTGCAGGATACAAAATCAATATACAAAAATCAGTTGTGTTTCTATAACTAATAATGAACTATCAGAGAAGTTAAGAAAACAATCTTATTTACAATTTCATTAAAAATAAAATACCTAGGGAAACTTAACCAAGGACCTGAAAGACTACACTGAAAACTATAAGACATTGATGAAAGAAATTGAAGAAGATGCAAATAAATGGAAAGATATTCCATTCTCATGGGTTGGAACAATTAATATTGTTAGAATGTCCATACTGCTCAAAGCAATCTACAAATTCAGTTCAATCCCTATGAAGATGCCAATGGCAGTTTTCATAGAAATAGAACAAACAGTCCTAAAATTTATATGGAACCACAAAAGACTCTGAATATCCAAGGCCATCTTGAGAAAGAACAAGGCTCAAACATCATGCTTCCTGATTTCAAACTATATTACCAAGCTGTGGTAAATGAGACAGCATGATATTGACATAAAAACAGACACGTAGATCAATGAAACAGAATAGAGAAATCAGAAATAAACCCACACATTTATGGTAATTTATTTGCAACAAGGGACCCAAGAATATACAATGGGGAAAGGACAGTCTCTTCAGTAAATAGTGTTGGGAAAGCTGGACAGCCACATGCAAAAGAATAAAACTGGACCACTGTCTTACAACATATACAGCAGTTATCTCAAAATGGATTAAAGACTTGAACTTTAAACGTGAAGTCATAAAACTCTAGAAGAAAACGTAGATGGTAAACTCCTTGATACTGGTCTTGGCAGTGATTTTTTGGAATCGACACCAAAAGCAGAGGCAACAAAAGCAAAAATAAAGAAGTGGGACTTCATCAAACAAAAAAGCTTCTGCGCAGCAAAGGAAGCCATGAAAAAATTTAAAAGGCAACTAACTCTATCCTAAGTTAAAAGTGGGAGAAAATATTTGAAAACCATACAGCTGATAAGGCGTTTACATCTGAAATATGTAAAGAATTTATACAAGTTAAAAGCAAAATACCAAACAATCTGATTTAAAAATGTGTAGAGGATCTGAATATACATTTTTCATAAAAAGACATACCAATTTGCCAACAGGTACATGAAAATGTTCTCAATATCACGCATCATCAGGGAAATGCAAATCAAAGCACAATAAGACATCACTTCACACCTGTTATCAAATGACTGTCATCAAAAAGACAAAAAGTGGCTTCCCTGGTGGCGCAGTGGTTGAGAGTCCGCCTGCCAATGCAGGGGACACGGGTTCATGCCCCGGTCCAGGAAGATCCCACATGCCACAGAGCGGCTAGGCCTGTGAGCCATGGCTGCTGGGCCTGCGCGTCCGGAGCCTGTGCTCTGCAATGGGAGAGGCCACAACAGTGAGAGGCCTGCGTACCACACACACACACATACACACACACACACACACACACACACACAAAAGACAAAAAGCAAAAAGTGTTGGAGAGGTTGTGGAGCAAAGGGAACCCTTGTGCACTATTGGTGGGAATATAAATTGGTGCAGCCACTATGGAAAACAGTATGGATGTTCCTTGAAAAGTGAAAATTAGAACCTACCATATGGTCCAGCAATTCCACTTCTGGGTATTTATCTGAAGGAAACAAAAACACTAACTCAGAAAGATATATACACCCCCATGTTCATTGCAGCATTATTTACAATAGCCAAGACATGCGGGGCTTCCCTGGTGGTGCAGTGCTTAAGAATCCACCGGCCAATGCAGGGGGCACGGATTCAAGCCCTGGTCCAGGAAGGATCCCACATGCTACAGAGCAACTATGCCAATGTGCCACAAGTACCGAGCCTGTGCTGTAGAGCCCGTGAGCCACAACTACTGAGCCCACATGCCACAACTGCTGAAGCCTGCGCACCTAGAGCCCGTGCTCTGCAACAAGACAAGCCACCGCAATGAGGAGCCTGCACACCGTGATGAAGACCCAATGCAGCCAAAAATAAATAAATTAATTTTTTAAGAAACACATAAAAACAACCTAAGTGTAAATAAAAAAATAAAAAAAAAAAAAATATAATATATATATATATATATATATATATATATATATATATATATATACACATATATATATATATAAAGTCGAATATTATTCACCCATAAACAAGGAAATCCTGCCATTTGCAACAACATGGATGGACCTTGAGCATATTATGCTAAGTGAAATAAGTCAGAGAGAGAAAGGCAGATGCCATGTGATCTAACTTATGTGGAATCTTAAAAAAAATACTCATGGATAAAGAGAATAGATATGTGGTTGCCAGAGGAAGGAGGTGGGGGGTGGGTGTGTGTGAAATGGGTGAAGATGGCTGAAAGGTACAAACTATCAGTTATAAGTCCTGGGAATATAATGTACAGCGTGGTGACTACAGTTAATAATACTTTATTATATATTTGAAAGTTGCTAAGAGATCTTAAAAGTTCTCATCACAAGAAAAAAAATTGTAGCTATATGTAGTTATGGATGTTAACTAGGAAAAAAACTTGGAAAGTGTTTGAGGTTGCATATACTAATGTATTTATCACATTGGTGTTTATATTATTGAAGAATTGGAAACAAACTAAATACCCAGCAAACAGGGATCTTAACTGTTCCATGTGCTCTAATTTCAGTCACTTATGTACACTATCGATTTTGCTATACTGGGGTACCATCTGAGCTATTTAACATTTTTCTTTAAATTGACTTTTAACTTCATACCTGGCCATAGCTATTACAGTATAGCAGAAAGCATGGATCTGTGCTAGTCATATCCATTTCATATATACATTTAAATAAATGCATGATTAAAATGAAGATACTTATGTCTGTGTAACATCTAAAATAATTTTATGTACTATCAGTAGTGTTTTTACCACACACGAGGAAAGCCCTGATTAATGGTACATGCATACAACACAACCTTTTTTTTTTCTTTCAACACAGTCTTTAGAGTGATGATGTAGTTATATATTTATTGACTTAAAAAATTTTAATTAGGTGAGAAAACAGTATGCTCTGATGCATATACTCTTGTAATTTATATTGTAATATTTCAATAAATAGGTTTATGTACTTGGAATACTTTATACTGAAATATTAATAGTGGTAATGGCTGAGTGATTATGGGAAAAATTTTAAACTCTATATTCTAATTTCTTAAAATGTTAATGAGTATATATCTTTTAGTCATAAATAAAAAATTAAAGGACTATAAATTCTCCTTTTATTTCCTAAAAATACTAATTGTAAAAGCTCTTGAATATTAAAAATATGTTAGTTGGGCATTGTTTTCCTCTTTCTAAAATATCTACTTTTGCTCCCTATATTTACTTTTGGTGTTTGTCTTCACTGTTTACTTTTGCTGTGTTTAAAACAGGCCATTCAGAAAGGCAATACAGAAGTTGCAAGAATACATGCTGAAAATGCAATCCGCCAGAAGAATCAAACAATTAATTTCTTGAGAATGAGTGCTAGGGTTGATGCTGTGGCAGCCAGAGTTCAAACTGCAGTTACAATGGGCAAGGTAAGCCTTAATATCTGTAAATAATAGGAACTCTTGATTTAAGTTATTGGAGGTATTAAGAATTGTCAGAAATCTAAATCTACTGCAAAGTGTTACAAAGGTACTCGCCTTCCTGGGCAGGAGAAAGATAGTCAAAATGCTTACTGAGGAAACCGATTTTGGCAGTGGCTTTTCAGCTAAGGTCTAATTAGTTGTCTTCCAATGAATAGTCAAAGATAAAAGATAGTCGATGCCTAGACCAGAAATACATAGTGTACTTTTACTGTTAAGGAAACGATAGATAAATTTTATAAGATGATCTACAAGTAATATAAGAAACTACATAAATTTTGAGGTTGTTTATATTATAGGATTCTCAGTCTTTTTTTTTATACTCCCAATAGGTAACCAAGTCCATGGCAGATGTAGTTAAGTCTATGGATGCTACATTGAGGAGTATGAACCTTGAAAAGGTAAAAAAGATAAATAAATATATTGATGTTCAGATAATATCTTTTCAGAGTAAGTTTTTTTCTTATGACCATATTTCTTTTTGCAGATTTCTGCCCTGATGGACAAATTTGAACAGCAGTTTGAAACACTGGATGTTCAAGCGCAACAAATGGAAGACACAATGAGTAGTACTACAACCCTAACAACACCACAAGTAAGAATAGTTTCTCTACTTACACTAACTTTTAAAAATTACCCAAGTTCAAAATATAATGGCTTTCTGAACCTAAATCATCTCTAGAATGTGAAGTAAACATGGTGTATCCCCAAAATGCAAGTAGGAAGTTATGCTCTGACCCTGGATTCCTAAGGACATGTTAGAAGATGACATTTCCTATCTTGTTTTGAAGTTCTAAGAATTATTATAGGTCACATGTCTAGAGAGTATGGAACTTGGTTCTGCCCTGCTGCCAGTGGTCCTTATTGATAAAAGCATTGAACTAGGGACTCACTGAGGCCAGTGGGTATTAGGTATTATCCTAACCCCAGTTAAGTCATCTCATTGCAGATATTCTGCTTCCTGCCTACTCTTTAGGTATGTTATTAGGCATAGATCACAGATGAACAAATAGTAAATTATAAGATGAATTATTTTTCAGAAAACTAGGATGTTTTCTAGGATGTTGTTACATCTGCAGCTTAGAGATGTGCTACAGAGAAAATTAAATTTGAAACTAGTTTGGATGTCATGTGAGCCAGAAATAAAGATTTTGTGAAACTTGAATATTAAAATAGAAGATTTATATCATTACCAATCTTCTTTTTGATCCCAGCACCTATCACATAGTTCATCAAATAAAAAACTTGTTATCACTACATAAGATGATAATATGGATAATTTACAAAACAGGTTAGGAGAAAAATCAATAGCCATCCATCAGAATTTTACTGAAGGTGATGCCTTTCACTAAGAGGTAAATAATAAGAGAACAAGCTTATATTCGTGTTTTAGAGTTAAGAAGAAAGTATTCATGTATATGTCTTATAGAGAGCATATATATAGTCATTACGTTTATACCTCCTCCAGAGCCTTGCTTCCCCAAAGTGTGGTGCAAAAATCAGGAACATCTGTATCATCTGGGAGCTTATTAGCAATGCAGAAATTCAGACCCTATCCACAGATACATTGAATTGGAATCATTTTAATAAGATTTACAGGTGATATTTATGCCCTGATTTTGAGAAGCACTGTCCTAGAGTTTCTGATTCTTATTCAGGCACCTTAGGTGATTTTATGGTCAAGATTAGGAAAACACAAGGGGACTGGAAAAATGACTTGAAGTCAGGACACTTGGATTTCTAATCCCTACTCTGTCACTAATTAAGTTTGGGACCTTAAGATACTCACTACCTTGGGCCTCAGTATTCATAGCTGTAAAATGTAGGGTTGGATTTGATGATATCTAAATGCCTTTTAGCTCTGAAAAATCTTGAGATTCATTCACCTAACATTTGCTAAGCACCTTCTCCTGTTTCAGGTATTGTGCTAGGTGCTGGGGATATTCAAGTATATACAAAACATTTTTCATAAAGAGTCAACCAAAATTTACAACAGAAATGGGCATGCTTAGATGCCCAAATTCTCATACCTTGCTAATGAGTAATTAGAATTTAAATTAGCATATTCACTTTGGAAAAGCAATGCGGTAATATCTACAGTCCATTCTTAACATAGCAGCCAGAGCAATCCTGATAAAACAAGTCAGATCATGTCATTCTTCTGCTCAGAACCCTTCAGTGGCTCTGCATGTCTCTCAAAATAAAAGCCAAATTCTTTATGGTGGCCTATAGTGCCCTCTAGGATCTGCCTCATCCTGCTTCTCTGACCTTATCTCCTATTATTGCTCATCACTCTACTAAGATATTGGCTTCCTTGTTATTTCTCAAACACACCATGTACATTTCTTCCTCAAAGCCATTCACTTGCAGGTTCCTCTGCCTGAATCTTCTTCATCTGTCTTGCACTCATCCTCATTGCCCACTCCCCCACCTCCTTCAGTTCTTTGTTCAAATGTCATTTTCTCAGTGAGGTCTTTTAAGATCATCCTACTTAGAAGTACACCAGTGGCACATCCACTGAGTGCTGTACTCCCTATCTACCATCCCTGCTTTATTTTTCTGCATTGTACATATCACCTTCTAATAAACCACATAATTTAAAAAGTTTTTATTTGCCCCTCCCTTTCATGTGCACACACTAGAATGTAAGCTTAATGAAGGCAGGGATATTTTTAATTATTTTTGTTTACTGATGTATCCCTAACACTTAAAATGATATCTGGCATAAAGTAGGTGCTCAGTTAATATTTGTTGAATAAATCAGAGTATATGAAAATGCATGTGACCTATAACCTAGTACTTCTATTTTTAAATTTATACACAAAAGACCTACATGTGTATAAACATACTTCTACATAAGAATGTTCATTGCACTATTGTCTATAATCAGGAGAAATTAGGGGAAAATGTCTAAATGTCCAGAAATAAAATGGATAAATACAGTTGAGAGTATTTTATATTACAGTACTATACAGGAGTGAAAGTTAATGAACTAGAGCTCTAGATCTCAATATAATTAGATCTTATAAGGTTGAATTAAAAAAAACAAGTTGCAGAATAGTATACTTAGTATAATGCCATTTAAGTAAATTTTAAGAACACAAATAATGGTATTTTAGATATGAAGTAAAAACAACACAATCTAAATGCACAGAAGTATTTGATCTATTATTTTCTGAACTTCTTTATATTTTGCAGGTGAATGAAAGACAAGAGAGACTAAGGCCCAACAACATTATTAGAGGTTTGCTTAAAATTTGGCACCTTGTGGTAGAGCTGTAACTATGTCTTAGAGCTCCTACCTGTATGTTCAAAATATTTTAAATAAGTTAAAAACAAGTTTTTTTTAATTAATTGGACTCTATTCCCTGAGAACTCCTGTACTGTTGTAAATATCTAAATACTTATATTTTATTCATCTCTAGATACTTTAAAAAGTAATCCTTAAAAAAAAAAAGTAATCCTTAATATCAAATTTGCATCAACTAGCAGAAAGGACAGTTATGATTAATCTAAAATTTAAGTCTGTTACATTTTAAATACGAGCAAAGTTGGTTCACTCCATTAGAGAGCTACATTACTCAGATTCAAATTATATGTGAATATCACTGTGAATATTTTTCACATAACCTCATAGTTTAAGGCTTTATAATTTAACATTCATAAATAAATCATTTTATGAGATAATTCAGCTCCCTCTGGTGGTAAAAATTTTTTTAAAAACTTTCTTTTAAAAACTGTAGATCAGTTCCCCCTTTTTAAAGCTAGGTCAGAAACAAAAACTACCCAAAAAGCAAATACCATTCAAATACAAATTCTTATTTTTTTTATTCTAGAACCAGGTGGATATGCTGCTTCAAGAAATGGCAGATGAAGCTGGGTAAGAAATTATTCAGATGCTTTTGAAATAATCTTGATTTAATATCTACAAGTCCTACAATTATGTAATGTGGATAAAAATATCACCAATGGTCAGAGTTAGGTTTTTGACCCTAGAATTTAGTGCTTCAAGGACCTTTAGAACATCCAGCTCTTTGTCATGCTCATAAAAATATGACTTTGTTCCAATCATCTTAGTATTTTCTTAAAAATCTCTGGAGATAGATTCGGTTAGTGTGTGATAAGAAATGAAGGAAGGTGACTGAGGGAGGCAGGAGTGTTTAAAAAGTTTCCTCTGTACCGTCTGTGTTCAGCATATCTCAAATGTTTAATTGTTTTTAATAGGATCTTCCAAAAGAATTCTACTATGATCAGGCCATTAAGTCTTAAGCCAAGTTTGAGTCCTGCAAACTGAGCAATATGTGCAAAACATCCAAGGAGTTCAAAAGATGGCAGCATTTCATTGTTGTACATGGTTATTTGTTGTTTAAAAAAGTAAATAATTAACACCCTTTCTGGCCCAGCTATTAGAAATAGGGTATCTGTTAGGCTATTTATTTTAGGCTCTTCATGTTTGAGGGGAATGACTTGACTGTAATATTATCAGTGCTACAGAAGTCATGTTATATCAGTATTCTCTGGTATTTTACTCAGTTCAAGAGAACATTATAGTAAAGAATTTAAAATATTTTTTCAAAGATAAAGATTAAAACTGGGTGATACTAAAGTTTTATGCTTTATCTTCAAATGTAGAGTAATAGGTTGAAATAAGGTTCTTAAAGACACCTGGAAAATAGAGTTGATTAATATTATTCTAGTGTTGAAACTAATGCTTAATTAGAAAGAACTTAATTAGTTACCAGCTCTTTAGTTCACTGTTGTATCTCTCATTAGTGGGTTAAAACCTAGGTTAATAAAAAAACAGGTTTGCAATATTTGAGAACAGGGCCAGAGGGTAGGTGGTACACTATTTTGCTTTGTTAGTATCTAATATAGCCCATATCCAACAAGGAGTTAGTAAGAAGGATGATTTTTAAGTATTATAGGAGAGACTAAGGCATGTGTAAAAAGACTCCATTTTATTAATATGAGGCTAAGAACTTGTTTCTCTTTGTACCAAAGACGAAATAAGAAGATTGGGCTTGAAAATAGAGCAAGGGAGGTCTTTCAAAACGAATATTGCCGTATCACAGCCTTACTGACTCTCAGTGGAAATCAAGTTCAGTAGACAACTTTTTTATAAAATTTAGAATAGGATTTCTCAAACTTGACACTGTTGACATTTTGGGCTAATAATCCTAGGGGCTGTCCTATGTATGTAGGATGTTTAGTAGTGTCCCTGGCATCTACCCACAAGTAATATCACCCCTCCCCCCCAGGCGTGACAGCCAAAAATGCCTCCATACAATGACAAATGTTCCTTGAGTGTAGGGAGCCAAAATCGAGTGATTACTTCTGTCAATAATGGGTGGTGACTGGAGCAGTAGAAATAGGTAGAACCATTGATGTCGAAATACCCATCCTTATAGATGTTTAAGTATAGCAAAATTTTAGTATACTATATCTTTACCTTTTAAATAACAATCTGTCTCTAGAATCTCCTAATGACGAAGTTACTGTATTCACTGTAGTGTTTTCAAACTGGAGTTGGCATACACTCGTCTAGAGACAGGCAGAAAGAGTAGTTTGTATCCTCAGGAGTATTTATAATGGAGATTAAAATCGTGGCCTTGGAAGGAGACAAACCTGGATTTGAATCCTATCTGTCACTAGAGTGATCTTGGGCAAGTGTACTTAACTTTTCTAAACTTCAGTTATATGGGTAGATGCAAGTAATGATTTCTAGCAAGGGTAGCTCAGGATCTAAACACTGAACTTGTAGTTAGCTCAAATGTTAGATGTGGATATTGATCCTGAGGCTACATATGTCTAGCCTGTTTTATCTTTTTTTGGCACATTAATTTTCTTTACAGTAGAAGACATATAGTAATCTCCAGTAAATTCAGTACATTGGATAACCATTGTTTTGGTCTTTCTTTTTGTTCAGATGACCAGATCATTATCCTATATTTTATTCACTTTTCTATCATAAGATTATCATACACATGGGTTGCCACTAGGGCTCATCAAAAACTCTTTAAAATTAGTAATTCATTTATCCTAAGATGGACATTCAGAATATGTATTATTATTTTTTTTTTTTTGCTGTACGCGGGCCTCTCACTGTTGTGGCCTCTCCTGTTGCGGAGTACAGGCTCTGGACGCACAGGCTCAGCGGCCATGGCTCATGGGCCCAGCCGCTCTGTGGCATGTGGGATCTTCCCGGACCGGGACACGAACCCGTGCCCCCTGCATCAGCAGGCAGACTCTCAACCACTGCACCACCAGGGAAGCCCAGAATTTGTATTTTTGAATTAATTAATTTATTTATTTTTGGCTGCATTGGGTCTTTGTGCTGTGCACGGGCTTTCTCTAGTTGCGGCGTGGGGGGGCTACTCTTCGTTGTGATGCGAGGGCTTCTCATTGCAGTGGCTTCTCTTGTTGCAGAGCACCGGCTCTGGGTGTGTGGGCTCTACAGCGCAGGCTCAGTAGTTGTGGCACAGGGGCTTAGTTGCTCCACTGCATGTGGGATATTCCAGGACCAGGGATCGAACCCATGTCCCCTGTACTGGCAGGCGGATTCTTAACCACTGCACCACCAGGAAAGTCCCCAGAATATTTTTAAGTTCTATTTGCATCTATAAAATTGAACCAGTATTATGTTTATTTAAATTAAGGTAAAATGCTAGGTAGAATATTCAAATTTGCAATAAGCATGTTTTTGTAATTTATAATAACAATTATAAGCTTGTTATAATTAGATAAGGAGAAAAATGCTTATATTAACATTCATTTATGTTAATTATTTTAAAATTGTAGCCTTGATCTCAGTATGGAACTACCACAAGGTCAAACAGGTTCTTTTGGCACAGGTGTTAACTTCCATGGAACAGGTAGAAGTTGGATTTTATCTTGATTTGTATGAACTTGATGAATGAATTAAATATATGTGTATTTATATGTATATATAAGCAAATATATTCTCCTTTTATCTATTATAAAGAGTATTTTTCTACTATAATATGACATCATCGTAAATAAGCAAGATGTAATTAGCCTTTAACTCCTTAATGATGGACATTGCATGCATATTTCATTTAACAATTGAATTTGTTCCCCTTCATAGCCTTCTGCTCTATTAAGTTCTCCATTTATTTTGAAATGTTTAAAAAAAGTAAATTCTTAATATTTTTGTGTGAATTTTTGAGACAAGATTTTAAATCTTATTTGAATATGAGCTATTTAAAATATTAGTGATTTATATTTGTCACAGCCCTGTGACTTTTAATTTTTGCTTTCTCCAGGATGAACTATCACAGAGACTTGCTCGTCTGCGTGATCAAGTGTAATTTAAAGAACTGGCGCTTTTGTTTACTTCACTGGCTTCTGAAATATTTTGTGTGTATGTATAGATAAGTTTCACTCCAATTACAATAAGAATGCCATACATTACAGAATGCTTAACACTATTTGTATATAATGCTTTCTTTTACCTTGCTGTACTTTCCAGCACTTTAATTCCAGAGAGTTTCCACCTTGACAGATTTTACAGTTTTGTATATTATGTTGAAAAGTGCAAGAGACGGGTTTTTGTAGGTGTCTTAGACTGAGCTAGCATTAACTTGTTGTATATGAAATATCTTTCTCAAAAATTACATTAAAAAATCTAGGACCAAAGTACTACAGAATAAAGTACTTTATACAGAATAAAGTATAGAATAAAAGTTTTGGTTTCTTTTTAACTCAAGGTAGTTTTAAATCTCTGTCTACATTCACATGTGATGCATAAAAATAAAAACAGGGAAAATATGTTTACTTAATATGTTTACATAACCAAAAACACCTCATTTAGCGTCATACAATGGACAGTGCTACTTTTTGTGTTTTATGTTTGTTTTTGCTATTCAAGCAGAAATTCAGTTGACTTTTAATCTGTATTCATCAACTTTTAAATTTAGATTACTATGAGAATCTTTACCTAGTAATTTAATGACTATTAATTGAATTCCTTAAATAAAAAAATGTTTCATTGATAAAAATCTGCAAAATTAAATCAAAGAAATTAAGGTTTGCTCATGAAATATTTTTCTCTTTGGTAAATACCACTGTTAAGACTCACCAAGAAATTCAACATTTCATACATTTAAATGAAAGTGAAACACATTTTTAATGATTACCCAATTTGCATTCAACCCTTGTTAGGTTGTATTTTAAAAGGAGATTAATTTGCATGGCCTTAACATCATTTACATTTCTCACAGAATTGTTGATTGGTTTTCAAAAATCTTGGCCAGTGTTTTTAAACCAACCAACAAAAAATAACAACAAAATTGAACCGACTCAAGTTACAACTATTGTTGATCCTTGAACAACGTAGAGGTTATGGGTTTCAAGCCCCCTTTGCAGTTGAAAATCTGCGTATAACTTTATAGCTGGCCCTCTGTATCTGTGGTTCCACATTCGCAGATTCAACAAAACACAGGTTGTGTAGTACTGTAGTGTTTATTGAAAAAAATCTGTGTATAAGTGGACCCACACAATTCAAACCTGTGTTGTTCAGGGGTCAACTGTACTATAAGTCCTGGTTAAATGTGTTCATCTTTTATCTTAAACAACTCTCATAACTGGAAGAAATAAAGTGGAAAATAAATAAATTGGAATAAAATGTTTTGCCCAGCTATGCAAATAACTTCCAGCCTAATGGAGGTCAGGAGCATAACATACACGGTGGGCAGAAAACTCATAAGATTGTAAAGAAGACTAGACTCTTGAAGGCCAGGATTCTTGGGGGAAAGTATTTGATGACCAGCTGTACTACTTGCCATCTCCCCAGGAATATCTATATTTTACCCAACTAAGATGAACAAATTAACATGTGCCTGCACTTTTCTGATGTAGCAGTCTCAAATGTGGAGAAGTGACCAAGTTAGATTTTAGAAAGTGTACTACTAATCTAGGTTAAGTAGGTAAAGTGTTTTTCCTTACTTAATGTATGATTGATCCATGAAAGAATGCCAATATTTCATGAAATTCTATTAAGAGCACGTCTGTTTAGGCATTCTTCGTTCAAAGTGCAATTATGGAGGCTCTTTTTCTTTTAATTTTTAAATTAAATTTAATTTATTTTTTTATACAGCAGGTTCTTATTAGTTATCCATTTTATACATATTAGTGTATATATGTCAATACCAATCTCCCAATTCATCACACTGCCACCCCCATCCCCCCGCCGCTTTCCCCCCTTGGTGTCCATACGTTTGTTCTCTACATCTCTGTCTCTATTTCTGCCCTGCAAACCGGTTCATCTGTACCATTTTTCTAGGTTCCACATATATGCATTAATGTATGATATTTGTTTTTCTCTTTCTGACTTACTTCACTCTGTATGACAGTCTCTAGATCCATCCATGTCTCTACAAATGACCCAATTTTGTTCCTTTTTATGGCTGAGTAATATTCCATTGTATATATGTACCACATCTTCCTTATCCATTCGTCTGTTGATGGGCATTTAGGTTGCTTCCATGACCTGGCTATTGTAAATAGTGCTTCAATGAACATTGGGGTGCATGTGTCTTTTTGAATTATGGTTTCCTCTGGGTATATGCCCAGTAGTGGGATTACTGGGTCATATGGTAATTATATTTTTAATTTTTTAAGGAACCTCCATACTGTTCTCCATAGTGGCTGTATCAATTTACATTCCCACCAACAGTGCAAGAGGGTTCCCTTTTCTCCACACCCTCTCCAGCATTTGTTGTTTGTAGATTTTCTGAAGATGCCCATTTTAACTGGTGTGAAGTGATACCTCACTGTAGTTTTGATTTGCATTTCTCTAATAATTAGTGATGTTGAGCAGCTTTTCATGTGCTTCTTGGCCATCTGTATGTCTTCTTTGGAGAAATGTCTATTTAGGTCTTCTGCCCAGTTTTGGATTGGGTTTTTTGTTTTTTTAATATTGAGCTGGATGAGCTGTTTATATATTTTGGAGATTAATCCTTTTTCCATCGATTCGTTTTTTTGCTAAGTACTCACTATTCATATGTGATGTTTCCTATTGTAAAAGAGAGCATGTATAAATGAAGATTATTTTCACTGGTTAATGAAATGAGAAATTACTTTTTTGCTATGTTTGGGTTAAACCTATTTAACTTTCTTGGTAATTCATAATTTGACTATATGATGTGACTTCAATGTGGTAATCTTCCATTTTGTTTATCATTGATGCTTTGTCTTTTCTACTTAAAGGGTAAGTTTATTTACATTTGGAACATCCCAGAGAAGCATAGAAGAGATTATTACAGACTAAAATATCTGTGAAATAGAGTTTTCTTATTTTCCATTGGTGGGAATTGTAGCTTTTTTTTTCTTTTTTGACTTTAATGCAAATTGTTAAATTGCAAATATGGCTTACTTACATCTAGAAATATAAATGACTCTGATCTAAAGATAACTGCTCATAGTTTTATTTAACAACCGAATCAGATTTGTCTTTTAAAACTATTGTTCTCTGATAGACACAAAGTTTTGCTTTTGGATTCATTTATTATCTTATAATAAATTTTTCTTTCTTACAATTTGTTCTTAGACCAACAGCCCCACAAACTGTGAACTCTTTCTTACCTTGTTAGTACAAGTTATATTTCTACTTTGATAAGTGATTCAATCATTGAAAAGTAACACATCAAACTATACTATCATGAAAAGTAGACATCACAGCACCTTTCATTTACCTTCAGTTTTAGTTCCCTATCAATCTACTTTTCTCCAGATTTTTTTCTAAGTATTTGATTATATCATTTGGTAAAATGTATAAGGTTAAAAGCTCAGAAACATTTTGCTGCACCTTCACCCTTTAGATGATGTGGCTATTATTTAAAGCAATCTTAAAAAGGACCCCTGACAAAAATTATATCCCTGCTCCTATATGCCTCAATGCCTAAAATTTTCCACTTTCTTAAGTAAGCATTGTGGGCTGGATTATTTTAACTGCTAATTTATTACCAGTCATTGCTACAAAGAAACAAATAGGAGATAGAACAGGTAAATTATGATGAGAGATGAGTTTGCTTTACAATTTAGAAAGTTATGGGAAAGGACATCTGGATGGACTATCTGAAGAGAGTCTTAAGGGTACTAGTTATCTATAAAGAAAATAAGAAAATGATTGATAGGTTGCCAAAGACAAACCTAGCCTAGTTTTCGGTGGATTTGCTCAAGTTAGTAAATAACTGTTCCAAGAGAGTCTTAAATTGGCTCTAGTGTAGACTGTAGAGGAAAAAGCCCCAGATCTGATCTACAGTGATTGATTTGGATTTCTAGCTCTAGCTCTGATACTGACTTCTAACTTAGATAATTCTCTTACCGCCATCTGGGCCTTATATTCCCTTTCTACAAATCTTTTTGGAGTACATTGGTTGCATAAACTGAAGTGAGTTGCTGTAGTACAGTACATTACCTCCATTCTTTTCTGTTTTCTACTATTCACCCAAAAGATTGCTAAATGCAGTGTTAAGATGTTATGAGTCTTAGAGTCTTTTGTCTCAGGAGAGCTAGAGAACATCTAATCCACCCCATAACTCATTTTACAGAAGAGGAGACCAGAGAGGTTCAGATCTACCACATTTGTTGGGCATCTACTATGTGTTAGAAATGGTTCTGGGTACTTTGATATATTGTGGTTTATTTAATCCTCAAAATCCTGTGAGCAGTTGGATGATTGTTATCCCAATTTTTAGAGAACAGGAAATAGGCTGATAGTTGAAGTAGATGGTGAAGAGTCATACAGCAACTGAGAAACAGAGTTTGGATTTTATTACTGATATGTCTGACTTCAAATTCAGTGCTCATGGCACTGTACTATACTGGATTCTAACTGGAATTACAAGAGAAGTCTTGTTATACCTCATCCACATTCTATTCCCAATATATAATTTTCTGATTTTATTGCTGAGACAGTGAAAGCAACTAATCAAATTCTTGACTAGAGGGTAGTTCATCCTGAGACAAATAGGTGTTCTAGGTGAAGATTGGTTCTTTCTTCTCCTATTTCTTTCTTCTCCAGTTTGAGCTATCAGAAAATTATGATTTTATTTCAGTTTGGAAATCATAGCCGTTTTTCCATAAGTTAACAAATGGAATCAATTTGTTGCAAAGTTAACTAAGTTGTATTCATAATCAAGCTTTTCATCTTCCACACTGGGAAATGCTCCCAAGCAAAAATATATATTGGTCAAAGTCATTTGACTAAAATTACAAGAATAAAATCTATCCAGCCTACTACCTACTGATGATACTGTCTATATTCTTGTCAGTATACTACTTCTCTACTGTACTAGCAGGTACAAAGTTCTTGAAAGTACCTCACTACAAATAAATGACTGTTGTGCCTGTGGTGCTTAATAATTTATATATTAACCACTAACTCATGAGTTATTTCATCTGCCAGACAGGTAAAAGCCTTCCAGCCTTCAGTTAGAAAAGTCCAAATAGAATGTTAAAGGAAAATTTATGCCTAGTAAAATAACTTATTCTGTTTAATGTTTGTTCTCTAACCTAGGGAAGGAAAAAATGTCTTCATTCAATGTCTTGCTTGGTCATTAAAATAAAGTTGGGTCCCATGTTCCAAGTGAAGGTTCATAAAATGATGCTGTGTCCATTTCTTAGAAATCTTACTCAAACTTGATCATGCCAGAGCTTGACATGTTTAGCTTTTGCTTTATCAAAATGACATGAAATCATT